GGGCCAGCAACCCTGGGGGGTTAGGGCCAGCAACCCTTGGGGGTTAGGGCCAGCAACCCTTGGGGGTTTAGGGTAAACTCATGGTTTGAATCACTACATGAAGAGAATGGCAACTTTAAGTTTGGTTGGCAAGAGCGTTTCCAGCTTGAACAGGAAATTTCTCCTTTCTTCTCCTATGTGACTAAACCTTACCAACATGATTGGAATCTCTGATTCCCACTAAATCCTAAGGTGGGTACATTAGACCATATCAGGACTGTTTTGGAGGTGAATTCTGAGGATTTTGATCTCGGGTATGACAGTGTTCAAGCTATTTTGAGTGAAATCAATTATTTGAAGGGAAAGCCTACAGTGTATGAAGGGTACTTGGACTCTACTATCGTCGACTATGTCGAAATGTTAAAAGATGCGATTCGTATCTAGTTCAAGTTACTCAGACTGGCTTTCAGCTAGATGGCCATTCATTCATTTATTATATTTATTCTGTCTGCATTTTGAAATACAGAAAATCGTTCTCCGCCGGGCAAGATATAAAAACATTAAACCACACAAAAACACTCAGATATTAACAAAAATACCAAGACACTAAAAGAAGAAAACTTATACAGAGTCACATAAAAACAAATATATAATACTTGAGAATATTTGATACATTAGATGTTAGAATATGATACATAATAAAACGAAACCACTAAAAATGATCGTTTGACCACGGAATTGTACCTATGAATTGAGTTAGGAATGAACGATTGATTGAAGCAGGAGGGGTTTGTTCTTGGTACACATAGATGAAAACCAGAGCGGTTAAACCTATAACAGTGAAAAAGGAGATGCGTAGGGTTACGTAATATTGCACTCACTTTATCTGCTAATTGGTTGGAAGTCTTTCCCCCATTTGAGCGACTGCCCCAACTGCGTTGAAATACAGTTGGGCATGCCCCAACTTAGGTTGGAAAGCAACAGTTCTTGTGAAGAAGGGCAAAGAAGAACGATGGATTATTGTGAGTGTGACTTGATGCTAAAACTGACATAAAAGGGAACGAGCATAGGAGGAGGGATTCCAAAAAGAAATAAGCAGGCTAGGGGAGGGAAGAGAACTAAATCAGGGGAAAACAGTCAAACAGCAAGTACTTGTAAGTCACACCAACCACAACATCCAAACTTGTTTAAAAAACCTATTAAAACTTCTAACTACCCGATTGTATTTCCTTGTAATTGTGCTATTTTAAATCCAATTCCTCCAGATAACATGCCCTGCTGTGTCGTGGACACGGTTGGAGCAGTTGTAACAGGCCAACGTGTACATGTACATGTATAAATGCAATGGCTGGCTATCATGGTATAATGATGCTGTCTGCCACATCAGAGCTAGGAATGAATACCAGTAAGCTGAGCTTCAGATCTCAGTCACAGTGTTCTTGTCATTTGTTCTAGGACCTGATCATCTTTCCTGACGACTGCGAATTCAAATCTGTCCCACAATGCACTACAGGGCGTGTCTACATCCTCAAGTTCAAGTCCTCCTCTAGGAAGTTCTTCTTTTGGATGCAGGTAGGATTATCCTCAAATGTCACTTAACCCCTTCGCTCCGAGAGACGTCGACAGCCGTGGCTTTGTGTGAGGATTAGTGCAAAGTGCACACACACTCTAACATCATGCACCTGTGGTTTCAATGTGGACCTGCTGATGGACAAGGCTTTGCATACTGGGCATACCGCAGCCCAGCAGTCGCAGTCAAAAGAATCCTGGCGTGAAGGGGTTAAGAAACAAAGCCCTTTCCAAATTGTGCAATTTCTCCCTTTTCTATCAAGTTTAACAGCCTTTCCGTTTCGACTTTGTCATGAAACAATGGAAAAAATCAATTATTACCTTTATGTTTTTGATCACACATGTACTTAATCAACCAGCAATTAATTCGAGGAGGTGCTATTTTTTTTACCTAGTTTGTTACTGTGAAAACCATTATTCCTAAATCTTTGAAATTATAATTTTCCAGGAACCTAAGAAAGACAAAGATGATGAGCACTGCAAGAAAGTGAATGAGATGTTGAACAACCCCCCAGCCCCAGGTTCTAGTGGGGGAGGGGGACGATCAGGTGCCGGGGGCCTGCCCCCAGAGTTGGCAGGACTAGGAGCTTCCCTAGGTAAGAGATTCCATTGGTTTATAAGGCATGTAGTATCCGAGAAAGATTGTCATTATTGTCATTACTAGACCCATTTTGTCAGATAGATTTGGTCACAAACTTACATTTTTAAACCACCAGTGATGAATTGACAAGCAGGCACACATTCTACGGAAATAATTGTGATACCCATTGCATTGGCCTTCTGTTTTCAGGTGAGGGTGGTTTACAGAATGTCCTTGGCAACATGGACCAACAACAATTGATGCAGCTACTGAACAGCGGCAGCTTAGGTCAGTATGAAAGTGCAGGGTCAAAGGTCAACCTGTTCTTGAAGCATTCTTCAAATCTTGAACTGTGTCCATCGTAAAAGTAAAACAAAATAGTTGGTTAAACAAACAGAATTGCAGGTTGCTTTGTTGATGGTTTGTCCCTCTTTTCTTTGTTTGGTTCACCTATTCAGTTGTCCTGTTGTTTTGTAGGTGGCATGGGAGGTATGGGTGGACTTGGAGGTCTTGGTGGCTTGATTGGAGCTGGCCGTCCATCTAGCTCCCAATCGTCATCATCTGCTGCGTAAGTCAGTGGTTTAGTTCTAGCTTCCACTAACCTCAATGCACATCCTGGTTTCTAAGATTTTATAGGATTCGGCACTGCTCGATCCAAGTTTAACGATATCCATTGTTTCTGTTCATGTCTTTTAGGCCATCTCGTGCACAGTCTACCCCAGCTGTCCATGCCCAGGAAACCACGTCCAACAGTAGCCAGCCTCGCCCAGCAACCACCACTACCCAACCACAAGCCAGCACCACCAGCACTGTGACCCCTTCAACTACTACTGCTTCTACGACGGCAACGCAGCAAAATCCGGCCATTCAACTGAGTGATTTGCAGAGTATTCTCAGCACCATGAATAGTAAGTGCTGGCCAAGAATAGTGACCTTTTGGTGAAAAGTTGGGGATGTAAACTGTAAAAAATATGGATTGGCATTGAGGGCATCCGTGCACTAGTGGTCATCTTATAATACCCCAAGCACCATTGACCTTCCAAATATTGACCTTCCGTTGGAAGGTCAGACTTAAATTATGAAATAATGACTGAAAGTGAGGGTAGCAGTGCGCTCTTCATGTTGTGCACTTCATAATATCCCAAATACCCTGGACAGAAAGTACAGACAGTGGCTATTTAGAAGCAGTGCTTATGTTGAATATTACTCCCACAAATAGCACAGGTTCTGTAGATGACTTAACGCAGTTTATGAAACGTAGTGTGTAAAAGTACATGCATGTTTTGATAGTAGCCTTGTCATAATTCTTCCTCTCTCTGATTCTAGTTCCAAATCCTTCTGGGGCAGCCAAGGCAGAGGCACCAGCCCAACAACCTGGTCAGTGCAAAATCTAAGAAATGGTTTATTAAAGTACTCAGTATTCGTGTCAAACCTGTTTCCTCCTTCGTCAAACTTTGGAAAGTCCTAAGGAAAGACACACTGGTGAGGTCAAAGGCCATGATAAGGCTTAATGTGATTTGTGGGTGTAACCTGAAAGTTCCACTTGTCTTAAATCCAAGAGAAGTGTAACAACTTGGCTTTGATAAAACAAAGATAGTTTCCACAAAAGACTTTATTCAGTGATTGTTTTCCCCTGTCCTGTACTCATCCACCCACCGTCACAGCAGTAGACTTGAGCAAGGTCTTGACCTCTGAGGCCATGGCACCAATCCTGGCCAAGCCTGAGTTACAGCAGAAGTTGATTCCATTCTTGCCTGAGGGAGAGTCCCTGCCCAAGGACCCGGAGCAGTTGCGACTTACTCTGCAGTCTCCTCAGTTCAAACAGGTTAGCAAGTTGTCGCTGATTGGTCGTTCTGCTGTTACAGCAATGTTTTTATACTCGTTATTGGTGCAGTTATGGTTTGATTTTGTTTTCTAATAGTTTTTCTTACAGACAAGCTGTGTTGTACTCGGAGTGACCCTCATTCATTTTTCTGTAAAGTGTAAACATACCACATGCACTTCAACTTACTAAGGATATAACGTCAACGGCGTTTAACCTTTTTGTTCTGTGGAGCCCTTTTTTGGAGCCAAAAAGTTCTGCAGGCATCCTCTTCTGCCTGGGTCTCCAAAATCTCTTTTTTCCTTCCTCAGGCCCTGAACATGTTTACTGTCGCCTTCCAGTCTGGTCAGCTGGGACCATTGATGGGACAGTTTGGGTTGGGTCCAGAGGCCACCGAGGCAGCCAACAAGGGGGGTGAGTAGGCATATCACAGCCGCTGACTGAAAGATCTTTTCTAAAGTCTTTGGAAAGCTCCGTCTTGTAGTCAGTAACTTGAGCTGGGGCAGCAGATCTAACTAGTGACATGGGAGTTTCTACAATATATTCCTTTGCATCCAATACACATTGATCCAGCTTTGCCCCCCCTCCTTTCAATACAGCCCCCCCCACCACCAGTGAATGATATTTTCTTCTCACCCACTATCCCAATTGTTCAGCAAAACTTAATCAAGCTTTCCAAGTACATGAATGCACCAAGGGCACATACATAACCAAGTTTTCAGGGAGGTGCTCAAAATTGTTTTCGGGGGATGGAGTCAGAAATGTGGAAATATTTTCATGTAACCTTTTATGGCCTTTCTGAAAGGTGAGGTTACATTCCGGGGTTTTTACAAACTGTTGGATAGGAAAGAAATTTTAATTAACCAAAACATTGCCTTTTTCTCATTACTTTTAAAAAACATCTTCTCTGGCTCCTGGGCATGACCCCACCCCCCAAAAAAAACAAATTCCCCCCTGGTATTAACCCACAAGAAATCAAAACCTTCAGTTTATTTCTGTCACCTGTTACCTGACACAGACTTGGAGGCATTTGGTGAAGCTCTCCAGAAAATGACAGGAGGAGACAAAGCCAAGAAAGAGGATAAACCAGGAGATGATGAAGAAGGAATGCACCTTGACTAACAACATCCCAAGAATTGTCTCCAGAACCGTCCTCATCTTAGACTTCTTCAAAATATGCATAAGACACAATATTATATTCACAGCGGTAGAATTTAAAACTTTAATAGTCGTGCATTGGTTACAAATGGAGCACCAAGAGTTCTATGGATCCACTGTGTAATACAGAGAACTTTGAAAAATATTTTAACAGAGTTACAGAAGGAAAAATGTGAGTTAATAAGCTTACACAAAGTTAAATTGCTTTGGCCTTTTTTTCACTTCAACTTTTTTTCGAAATCTTCCGGTGAATTATGCATGTTGTTTCTTTTAACAGCAAAAGTTATGCTTTGACAAATTGTTTCATATTTTTGCTTGGTGTTACTACAGAAATAGCAATATGATTTTGTCAGTGGGCAAGTTTAGAAACAAACTTTGGAAATAAATACTGTTTTAACCCTTACAGAGCTGGGATTGCTAAACCATCTCAGATGTGACATGCCTGATAATTCTGAAACTTAGCATACATATAAAGGCTTTCAATTTAATATGACATAGGATTTTGATGTTTAATATAATCATTTGAAGTTCATGGCCTCATTTTGTCGGCTTGCGACACGTCAAAAGGAAAAGTATGGATTTTTTGCTGGCCTGTCTCTGAGCAATGCACGTTGCACACGAACAGCATGTTTACAGAATTGGTGCCCAAACGACTGTTATTGAAAGGCTCGGTGAGTGAAACGCATGCACTGCCACAATACTGGAGAAAATGTTGAGCATACCACCTTCCCCGGTTCTTTCAGCATTACCCTTAAATGTAATTACAGTCGGCTCTTGTAATAACAAAGTTGCAGGGACTAGACAGATTTCTTTGTTATAACCAGGACTTTGTTATAAGAGAAGTGGAAACACAAAGGAAAGTGTAAGCATTCAAGAAAGTAGGATTCTCAAAATCTGTTCTCTACAACAATATTTGGCTACAAAAGTCTTCTTTACAACAAGAGTCGACTATACCTTCCAATTTTCAAGAGGTTGAGAGTAGTGATGTTTCTTTGTAGGTCCTTTATCATGTAGCTTGACATTTGAAAACATACTGTTTCAAATGATTTCTTTGCTTAAAGAAGACAGACAGCCACAACATTAGAACCAGAGAAAAATAGAGCAGCGAGTGGGATTTGAACCTTTGAACTCTGAATATTCAGCCCAGCATGAGTTTAGCGGCCTTGTAGTTCATGTCTCTTGGGGGGTGGCTTTAAAGCCTTATCTGGAACCTTTCCTGGAACTTATTGTTTTAGTCAAGAAACACCAGCAGAGATTTCTTTTAGGAAAATGTACATGAGGCATTAAAATACTGATCTTTGTTTGAAAACACAAAAAATTTGCACTTCATTCATTGCACTGTTGTTCATGATTGCAGATTTTAATAAAATGAAAAAACAAAACCAAAATAAGTTAACTATTTTCAAATAGTAAACCCTGACAAGGCTAACTTATCGAGATAACATTTTAGAATAATTTAATTTTGTGTACATGTATTTAACACCATGATTTCACTACACCCATATTGTTTACAACCACCAGTCATTGCCTTCTGAGAGTTCTGAGAAAACTTGTGTTTGGCATGGGAAGCTAACCCACGGCCAATTGCTCGAGACAAGATGTGGGTGGGGTTGGCAGGGCACTACCATCAGCATCCCAGAGCGACCAGCAAGTTGATGGGGCCAAGCTGGGAAGGAAGAGGGCGGTGGGCAGGGAACAAGTTGCATCCCTTTCTTAAATTGGGTTGCTGAGATAGAGACAACAAACCCACTAGCCTCCATGATGGATTGGGAAGATTGGAATTGCCAGAGTAGATACCAAAGGCAGCTGACAACTTGTGTGCTTAGAAATATTTTCTCTTGAAAAACCTTGAGAAAATGGTCCTCAAACATCGACTCGGTGAAGGGCTAAATTTTATCAAATGCTACCAACCAACAATCTGACCAACAATGACAAGGTGCATATTCCCATTAAATATAGACACACTGAATTCTTTTGGACAATTAGTGCTGATTACAATTAAATTTTAACTTTAGTTGAGCACACTGGATAAATACTTGATACCAGATATCAAGATTAAATGAACTGTTTCATTTACTTAGCACAAGGCAACATGATTCTGTGTTATTCACTTGGTCTTGTTTCTGCCAATGAACTTGTCCATAGATTTCCACACGTTGAAGAACTTCTCAATGACAATAAAGGAGTTGTCAGGAAGCCAACTGAAATGATAAAAACAGAAACTCCCAAGTTGGATTTGTTTGACATGGCAGATTTGGTAACTTGGACTTGGACCTCAACAAGCGAAACCTTGGACATCAAGTGTAACTTGATGAATCTTACCCTGCACACAAGGACTTGGGCACAAGGGTTAGAGAACTTGAAAGTCAGTTATGTGAGGACTTGAGAACCAGTCTTGTTAGGACATCAAAAAGAAACATCTTGACTACTTCAAGGCCAGCCTTATGACGACTTAAAGCCTTGTGAAGAAAAGAAAATCCCATGTGTGTGAGGTTGTGGCTTATCAAAAACCAATATTGCTGTAAGCACTTACGACTTCAGGTTGATAAGCAGGTACATGGTTCGCGGCATGAATAGTGCCTGCTGATTGGTCTGCACAGCATGCAAGATCCGATCGGCAACATACTCTGGAGCAAGGCCTTGCAACAAGATGTCATGGCTGTCAAAAAGGAACAAGAATACTTCCAAATCCTATTCTCCCTGAAGAACTGTCCATCTGAAAGCATGCCCTACAGATCTGGGGTATAGGAATGAAGTTTATAACCCTTACTCATACATCTCCTTTCTTACATGGATATTGGTCGGAAGCGGGAATGCATCTTTAATATCTACAAGAGGTTGAACTCACTTGATAGCCACACCGGAGAACATGCCTGTGTGGATGAGGTACGGATTAACGATGGTGAACTTGACTTTGTCAGCTCCAGCCACCAGAACCTCTCTCTCCACGGATTCATGGATTCCCTTTGCAGCTGCTTTGCTTGCACAGTAATCGGCCATCTTGGGCAGACCAACGTAGGCCATGATGCTGGCTATGGTCACTACATGGCCATGGTTGCATTTGATCATATCCGGCAGAAAAGCTTTAAGAGTCTGGATTGGAAAAGTTCTCATGGTTAATTTCAGACGTTTTTTTTTCTCAGAACATCCAAAACATATTAATAATCTCATTAACAGAACAAATCAAAATATCAAATATTTACATGAAAAACATGAGTAAAACAAACAATTAAACCATTTCTGACCCAAATTCACAGATGTGCACTGTTGTTCAGCCTGAAGTAACAATATGACACT